GTGGGTGTGGGTGGGAAAGTGGGTGGGGGTTGGGGTCCCATCAACAGATTTGCGACATTGTTGGGGAGTGATGGGAGAGAAGAAGAGAAGGGGAGAAGGGAAGAGAGAGAAATAGGTAATGGAGGGATGTGTTGCTACGCGATGACCATGGGAACATCGTCCGAGAAGCCGCTGATCATCGGAGCGTCTTCATCATCGTCACCTGGAGAGGAAGAGGAAAGAGAGATGTTTGTGAAAATGTCTTTGCTGTAGGAGTTTAGGCTGCACTTATCAATATTTTTCTATATTAATAATGGATCGTTTCATCACTCATTTTGTTTTTTCAGCTGCTGTTTGTGGTGAAACGCTGATAAACAGACGATATTAGCATTGAGCTCGAGCAATATCCAAATATCCCACTATACGCTATTATCAGAAATATTTTCTAAAATACAATCTTGTTTTACTTTTAAAAGACACAGAGACTATTTTACATTATTTTAAGATTTTATTGATTATTTTACCGGCTCTTTTAATACTCTTGTTAAAACAAACTTTTATACGAGAACTTTTCCTGCTTTTACTTTCCCTTGAATTGTTTTCTTTCTTCGTTTTAATTGTTTCATCTGTTTTTCTTCTCTTTGAAATCTNCGTTTACAAGAGTCAACAGTTCCCAAACTGGTGATCAAAGACACAACAATTCAGATTCAGTAAATGATGAAACACGATCCACAGTTAACTCATCCACCTGTCTCACTTTGGGCGCCAGCGTTACATACGCCGCTGTAGTACACGCTGGACTATCACCGACATATGCAACAGTTACTGCGCCGATATTTTCTATTTGTACATTTTGTATACATCAAATTTCTAAATATTTATTTTTCGTGTGTTTTTTTTCCACTGTGTGTAATTTTTTGCATTCTATATTCCAGTCTCTGGATGCTTATTTTGGCTTTAAGCAATGAACCGCTCCTATGGATGGTGAGTTTGCATTACAAATAGGGTCTCTCTTTCCCTGGCACGCTCCACAAACTCAAATCCTTCACAGTTTGTTTCAGTGTCCACCTCTTCCTCACAGTCCTTTTT